CAAAAATCAGGTTGACCGGCAAGGATGTCCTGCATATTGCGACCGTATTGGATGCGACGCGGTCCATCAATTAGCAGTAATTGTTGAGTGGTCTGCATTTTGTAACGAAAGGTGCGCAAATCCACCCTTAACAACCGCCACATGCCAAATTGCTGAGCACGGTGTCGGACCGAAACTTGTTGACGCTCCGCGACTTCGGCACTTACGGCTGCTATTGCTTCCATATTCCGTCTGGTACGTAGCTTATTCTGACGGACAGAGGTTGCGAAAGATCCTGTGGCATTAAATTTTGTAACCAAAGTACGAATAGTCTTCGGGGTAGGCGCATTCTGGTCACGATACCTCGCTCTGAACGCGCGTTGAGTCAGCGTAACAGAGAAGTTTTTTTGAAAATAAATTATTACAATTTCAGCACGTTGTTGTGGTGTAGGGTGGTTCATTGTTAAAATTGTACTGGACTGACGTTTCTGAAACATTAACAAACATGGCGAACTGTCACCTGGTTATCAAGTTATTTAAAAAAAACCTCGGGTACCACTATAAGATACACCAATTATATATGATAAGTAACACCATTTTATTTCTTTTATTAAAACGATTTTATGTTTTTCTACTGTTCCACCAAATCAAACCCCTCCGAAATTACTTTCTGGCTACGGCCTTGGAACTAAGTATTGATAAAAAAAGGTTTGAGTTTTTTACCATACATATTTTTTTTTAAACTTAAATACTAATAAGTAATAAACCTTAAATTTTTATTTGTCTATAATTTTAATCCGGTATTATCTCAATAATAAAATTTCGAAAATCTGTAATTAGTTCGTTGGTGACCACTTAGTGGTTTTTAAAGTTAAATCGTCCTTGACAGAAAATTTTCCTAGGATATTAATTAAATATGTTGGATTTAAAGGGGAATTGATTGTGACAAGGCCATAAAATAATGAGGAAAATTTCACGAAATGATAATTAATTTGAGGAAAAGGCGGCCGAAAAGGGAGACAAAAAGTGATTTCAATTAAACTTCGAAAAAGCAATTATTCATCTCACAGCCGTCTTAAACTCACTTCTCTTATTAAGATATGATTTATGTTTTCTGACTTTTTATTTCGCATAATGAAATACAGAAAGCAAATTATAATTTGCTCTCGTTCATTTCACAAATAAGCTCGAAATTTGCTCATCTTCTAATTTTGCGAGTCCGTTTCTTATCACTTATTATTGTTTGCATTTCATTAAGCCCAGGTAATGTAAACATTTATTTGGCATAATTAATTATTTCTACTTAAAATTTAATGAGTTTGGGAAATTCTGCTCCAACTTTAACAGATTGATCAATCGCGTGATTAATTGCATTTCTTTGAAATGTATTCTTAAATTATATGAATACGTAAATAAATATGAAAAAGGTAAGAAATTACTTAAAATCAGTTCCATATAAATATCATTTTATTGTTAAAAGACAACCGGTCTCGGCTTTATTTATTTAATTATTTATGGTACAATATCTACGGGCCAAGTCCATTAACAGGATAAGGTTAGCAATATAAAAAAATTAGCAAGTATATATAAAAAAACACAAAATGTATATAGTTAATAAAATATCAACTCAAAAATAGCGAAACCCTTGTACATATGGACTTTTCATAAAACTATAACTGCAAGTATGCTGAAGAGGTATAATCCACCCATTTCGGCAGTTTGCACACAGTTGTATTGTATTACGTAAGCTCTGTAAACTCATTAAAAAATAAATATTTCTGTACAGTCTCCGAAAATTTGCGACATGATAGCGTAGCTTGTGCACATTTTATACCTGTGTTTAGTGATGAGCAGAACAAGATCAAAACCAAGACTGGGTTGGTTTTGGTCTTGGTCTTGCACACTCGGTCTTGGTCTTGGTCTTTATTACGACTGGCCCTTCTTATATCAGCTTCTACTATATTTAAATGAGCCAGTCAAAGACAGTGGTCTGAAACTCAAATATTTTGTAATTTGCTCTCGGCTAAAACTCAGTTTAGTACAATTTTATTGTTGCTGAACTGGAGAGTGGTCTGGGGTCTTATTTAAAGAAACAAAATATCGTAAAGCTTTCTTTTATGTGCAACAGACTAAATGTCTGATTAAAATTGACAGAATATGATTTTAACAAAACCGTAAATGAACCCACGTAGTACTATGCGGTTTACAGTGCAAGGTAAATACCTTTTTAATCTAAAATTATTAATATTGATGATGATAGAGATTATCTGGTAAAATATAATATAAAAATATGTTTGATTTAATAGTTATTATCTTGTTTTGTAGGTATTCCTGTACCCAAACGAAATTGAATTGGAATCGCCCTGTTATACCCTCGAGAGTTATAATTGGAAATTTCTTACTTGTATCCTTGCAGTTTAAACAACTTTAGTGGTTCAAAAGCTCCAACCTGAACCTGACTATATCTATAGAAGTGCGTTGGGGTCAGTATCAAACAGCTACTATCTGGAAGGTGAGTGATGCTATGAAATAAAATCCTTATTCCAATATTTTGTCCAAGAATATGCGATAGATGAGAGGTATTTGTAGATATGGTAACTAGTCCACAATAAGGTAGTTAGACGAATAAAAGCTAGGTGGTAGTCAATAGTCGATAGTTGATGGCCTGAAAATAGGATGAATCCAATGTGTTAAAAGTTTTTATGATGAGATGAGATCAAGGTAGCTTACCGTGAAGAAGTAGCGGCCTTTCTAAAGATATTGTATGCAAATCCACTAATGTGTATAATCAACTTTGATTAACTTTTTGTTATACAATTATCTTTGATGGAATTTCTTTTGTTTCAGGCTTATTAAATCCGAAATAAATTTCGATTTTATTAATGAGTCCACATGGCCCAATAAAAAAGAGACAGAACCAGGAAGTGAGAGAGAAAGCATACTTCCTTGATCTAGGTAGGAGATTTTTGATGACAATAATTAACCTAACCGTAGTAGGCTTTTATGTTATTATTTTTAGACAGAAGAGTACCTAATATTTTGAACAATAATGGGAAAAAGAAGAGTTCAAGTTCAAGGTCAATATTGTTTGTACTTTGGAATGTAAACAATAATTCAAGTAAAATAAATAATTATTAAATATGTATTAGCATTATTTTAAACTGTAAGTATTTATTTATTTTTTCTTTAGTTTATTTTAATTTTAAAAATCTCTGTTGCACAAAAGTATTGAGCCCGTAACATCTTGCAAGCCTTCAGCTGGTTTTGGTCTTGGTATTGGTCTTGCAGAGCTAGGTCTTGGTATTGGTCTTGCAGAGATAGGTCTTGGTATTGGTCTTGCACAGCTAGGTCTTGGTCTTGCTGCAAGAGTCTTGCGAGTCTTGCAGTTTTTGGTAAATCTTAAATACTGCCACTTTGTACCCAAAAAAGGTGTTGTTGTTTTGTGAATTATAGTATTTTACAATATTTTCCAGCACCGAAAACAGTTTTTATGATATCACTTAAGTGTTCTCTATTTGTATTTAATAATGAAACACCCTGTATAAATTATTGCCATTAGAGGCAGTAAATTTAGTTATCTTCTAAACCTTTTTTATTAAACGTTTCCAAAAATATTATTTTTTTGTTTTTATGTATAAACTTAATGTTCAGCATGTAAAAAGCTGTGAACAGTTTTAAAAATTAAAATTATAAATGTGTCAATTAGTAATTTTTATATGCTCTACACTTGAATACGAAAAAAGAATGAAAGCTTGGTTCTGAATAATTTCTTACTTTATTCTTTAATGATGTTAACATTTATTTTCAGTAATAATATTAATTCATAAGAATAATTCAAATATTATTCTATTTAAATTCATGCCTGTTATGTTAAGACTAAATAATTCCACATAATTTTTAAGAATATTATTAATATTTTCTTGTATTTTATTTTTTATATTAATAAAATCGAGACGAGATAAAACATAAAATGAACGGAGACGAGACAAGGCTTGTCTCTTGTTTTGAAAAAAATGTATCTCGAAATTTCGAGATAAAACGATATAAGGTCCTATCTATTGTCTTGTGTCAACTCTAGTTAAACGCAGTAAGAAAGTATATATAAATGAACTTTTAAATGACGTTTAAATTATAACATTTCGCAACCTAGCTTTATGCATTCCACGGCTGGCGAATATCTCGCATTGAACAAACAAACGGCTTTAAATGTATATTTAATAATTTACAGATTTCTAAAGACACACCCTATATATCGAAAACCAAGGTTTTTCAAAACGAATGTTTATATACTTACCTTTTATTTTCAGGCAACAATTAAATACCGCAATACCGCAAGAGTCTTGATCTTTCGTAAGTATTGCACCACTTGGTCTTGGTCTTGGTCTTGCACACTCGGTCTTGGTCTTGGTCTTGCAAGCTTTCAGCTGGTCTTGGTCTTGTAAAAAAGTAATACTAAGACCGTAAGACCAAAACCAGTCTCGATCATCACTACCTGTGTTAAAGGATATGAATTTTTCTAGTAATCTGAAAACTATTCATTTTTTAAGCGATGGGCCTTCAATCCAATACTGAAACCAAAAAATGTTTCACTGGATGGTTAACTTAATTTCCGAAAAGTTGCAAGTTGAGGAGTTGCGTTGGCACTATAGCGAAAAGGGGCATGGTAAAGGCGCTCCAGATGGAGTGAAATCTTAAAGCATAGAGCAGATGCTATTGTGGCTAGAGCGACCAATATATTAGACATTAAGTCTTTTTGGTATCATTTAGAGTCTAACTGTAAAGGAACTAAACTATTTAAAGTCCAGTTAGACAATTCAGAGCTGCAAAAAATAGAAACGAAATTGCCAGAAAAGTTACCGAGTAGATATTTGAAAGCTCACCTGTCTCAACTGTTTTGCTTCCATGAAATGTACTCATTAATTCTTGGGCATCTACAACTTGCAAAAAAGTATCCATTTAGCATAGTTTGCTGTTTTAAGATGCATATTTACCTATTACTTATTTCTAATAGTTATTTGCAGGAGAACCACCAAAAAGAAGACTTTACTATGCATATGATTCCAGTTCTTCTGATGGAAACAGAAATACGTCTCCAAGAAGAATACTTCATTATGAAGATGTATATTCAAGTTCTTTCAATGAAGACGAAAATACACCATTAGCTTTACGTCTTTAAGATAATAATAATAATAATAATAATAATAATAATAATAATAATAATAATAATAATATTAATAATAATAATAATAATAATAATAATAATAATAATAATAATAATAATAATAATAATAATAATAATAATAATAATAATAATAATAATAATAATTAATAATAATAATAATAATAATAATAATAATAATAATAATAATAATAATAATTGGGGGTGGGTTGGCTCAGTGGTTAGAGTCATGACTTTGAGATCGGAAGGTCTCAGGTTCGAATCCCACCGTTGGCCGGGATTTTTTCATTTAATTTAATTATTTGAAATTAATTCTGATGCCTTGGTAGGATTCCCCACTCGACCATTCACTGTTGGGTTCTAATTAACAGTGCTGTTCCTAAAGTGGCGCTGGGAAACAGTAACAAAGCGTACACAGAACACGAGGCTAATGGCCGTAGTAGTCGACGCCGATGACACCAAATTAAAAAAAAAATAATAATAATAATAATAATAATAATAATAATAATAATAATAATAATAATAATAATGAATAATAATAATAATAATAATAATAATAATAATAATAATAATAATAATAATAATAATAATAATAATAATAATAATAATAATAATAATAATAATAATAATAATAATAATAATAATAATAATAATAATAATTTTTAAGTAACTGAGGATGATCATAGTTTTCTCCAGAAAATATCTTTGCAGAATAGTTTTGATCAGAATATTGTTCCAGAAGATTCATTATCCGTTCTTTTAGAGCATCAGAACATCTTTTCCCGACAGTCAGTTCCTGTTGGGTTTAATGTAATAATTACCCTAATATAACTAATTGCAATAAAAATTGCGACGTTGTTAACTACATTAAATCTGTAGGCTGGCTCACGAACTAAGAGGTGCCTATCTACTTAGGAGGATGCACAATGGGCCTGATGAGGCCTAAGTGCCGTGGGTTAACCCATCCTTCACACGTTACAGATACAGATACATCTACTTTTTCCTTTTGATGTAATGTATTGCATGTTGATGTATTAGCCAAAAGAGTAGTTGTATTCAGGAGAGAAACGGTTGTTCGACTTTTCTGTGATATGAACTTTGTGATTTTCTCTTTTCCTTGGTTTGTTTATATTTCTAGATAGGTTACATTTGGGAATTGGAATTTATTTCCTTTAAATATGCTACTGTTTATTTCGGCAAAACTTTTTTAAAATTGTATTAATACAGCTGGTCGAATTTGTCGAATAAAAAGCGAACATGGGTTTTAATAAAATCCAATATCGGTTTTTAATTAAACGAGGTTAATTGTATCCGGAGTACATGACAAAACTCTAATTAAGTAGGTAGTCTGTTTTTTGTCTGTTTCAAATAGTGCAATGCTCAAATTTACAAAAGGACATTTGCAATTCGAATTAAAAAATGTTTTATGTTCATTACGGAATACGAGTGCCTATACGAAAAAAAGTGATTAGAAAATTTTGCCAGTAGTAATATACTTGTGGAAATAAAGGTAATTACTTTTTTGTCTAGCAACATTTATTACAATTTTAATTTTAAAAATATTTATACCCATTAAATTATCGAATAAAAAAACTATAAAAGGAGAAATGAAATTCAAATTTAGTAAATTTTCTACTGTTTGTACAAGTCAAACTTTATAAAAAATTATTTTAACTACTACTAACTTCTGTTGAAATTAAACACTAATGATTTTTCTACAAAAAAAAATATTTACATAATTTCTTATGATTTATGATATTTTGTTGAACAAAATTTTGTACAAATTCATGAAATTTAGTATTAGTCAACATTTTGTGACGTCAGACAGCAATGGTGGTAATTCACCTTTTTGGTGTTTAATAATTTATACGTAAATAATAATAAGAGGCTTCCATGCCTATGAAAATCGTAATTCAACTATACCTCTTAAAAGAAAAAAGCAATCGTAATGCTATTTTCACTAAACAAACCAGGAATGTCTATAAAATAAAATTTGAAAATTAAGAAAAACAATATTTGAGCCAGTTTTTGTCTGTTCGAAAAATAGAATTCCGACATTCAGGATAAGATTCGAGAACGATCTGTGAAAAAATAATTCAATTTTATTGAATACTTTTCAAGTATAAAAGGTATTACATTGACGTGCGTTTTAATAAATAGCTTGGTGGTGTGCGCTTTAGTCCTGGTATGATGTTTATGTAAGTGTTTATCTAGGACTTTGCAAGTTTGTGTAATAAGAATGGAAAAAATAAAGTTATACAAAACATGTGTATCCTAGCAAAAGGAGAACAAAACACTGTCGAAGGACTCCAAAAACTGAGACGTGAGTACATTTAGCTCTTTTTTAGATACTCGTAGCTCTTACTCTAAATATTCACTTTTATTAATAATGACGAAGATAATGAAGAATCCATCGCGTGTTTATTAAAAATTGAGAATCTCGACCACGAAAGGTATTTAAACAATGAAATCAAGAATATTGCAAACAAAAATACCTATTGCATTGTTGTTATTTGGAGTCCTATGGGAATTTTTTTCAATTTTTGACAGCTGTGTCAGAAGAAGACAAACTGTTAGCCTAAATCTCGTCTGGCAACGCTGCTGTTACAAGCAACTTAAAGTCTGTCGATAGCTGTTGCATATCTTATTGAAGATTAAATCATAACTCCTCTATTTTTGTGCGAAAAGAATATTATTTTGCAGTAAATACTAATTTTGTGTAAGTTAAAACTAGCCTGGAGATGTAGGTACTAATTCTGTCACTGAGGTTCTTTTTATTTCTAAACCTGTAGTGGCTCCAAGTAAATCCAAGTAGCTCCAAGTAGCTCCAAGTAGATCCAAGTAGATCCAAGTAGATCCAAGTAGATCCAAGTAGATCCAAGTAGATCCAAGTAGATCCAAGTAGATCCAAGTAGATACAAGTAGATCCAAGTAGCTCCAAGTACCTCCACGTTTATCCAAGAAGTAGTGTCCGAAATATCTCCAAGGATTGGACAGATTTCGAGTATCAGACAGAAAGTAGCTGGCACATTTCTTGGACACTTTTCATGGAACAAGATCTTCAAGTTAGTCGATAAATCTAGATGCAGATCACCAGACGATCTTACAGGGAAGTACCGCAGTAACGCCACAGAGTCGAAACAAAGAAATGTAACGTTTTGTATCCAAGTCAATTATCAATTTAAATGTGTGGTACAAAATTACTAACATAGCTAATTCATTTCATAGTTTATTTAACGTGATAATTTGTAACAAACTTCTTTTCATTACATGTAATATATTTTCTCACTTTCTTTTATTTGCCTGAACTCGTAACCGATAACCGACTCAATTAAACAGGGCATGTAAAATCAGACAGTTTTTCAAGTTATTCAAAAACTCGGTGGCTCTCAACATTGTTTTGTCGTAATATTATCTTCCACTTTATTGTAAAGCAGACTTTGGCTCACGAACCGGTCAAGCTGCTCTTATTTTATTTGTCCTGGTCAATTTATGAATCCAAGCAGTTAAATCACCTCAAAGTACAATTAGGTAACAACTTACTATTAAAAATGTTTCCACAATGCGGCAAAGTGGGAAAAACTGCACTAGGTACGAAAATGGATTAATGAGGTCACTTGATGTTTCGCAATATATCTTGAAACTACTCTAATAAATAAAAGTTGTTGCTATTAGTGAGTTGTAGGTAAAAACTTTTAAAATATGAAAGGGATAAACTACACAGCCTGGCAACAGCGCACCAGGCAACGCATGTCGGTTCTTTTACGAAATTGCTACGCGCTACGTTGCAATATATGACCGGGTTTAAAGGTAAATAAATATATCTGTTGTTTCTATAATCTAAGCAAAATACTTATACAACGATAGTTTAACTCTGTAGGTTTCTTAAATCTAGACAGAAGAATTACTACAGCATGCTTTCAGGAAAGAGTAAAATAAGAACCTGTAATATAGGGATTAAAATAGTGACATAGACAGGGCCGCGCCGACTATGTGGCGAGTGTGGGCAAAAGCCACAGGCGGCCAAGTCAAAGGGCGGCAAAACACCTAGGCAGATCGTCTCTCTAACGCTCGTTACACATGAGGCGCAGAAGTCTATAGCTATAGATTGAAATGAAAGCTTACACACAGGGCGGCGCGGCATTCCTGCCACCATGTGTGAAAACTTCCATTTGAATCTATAGACTACTGCTAAAACGACGGCGACGGCAGTTTCGCCGACGCAAAATAAGCGCCCAATGTGTAACGAGCGTTACGCCGCAAAGCCACCGCTCAAAATGATAATTGATTTACGACACCGACGTTTTTCTTTGTCGGTACTTGATGCTATTTAGTTGCAGCGGCTAGATAAAAGAGTTTGAGTGATCAAAAACAAACGGACTAAGAGAATAAGTAGGGAGACTTATTTATTTTTAATTTTTTCGCTCTATAAAGGATAAAAAAATCATTTGTCGGAAACCGCTCAAAAACGAAAATGAGTATAAATTTGTGTAGAGTTTGTAGAAAGGGTCATTTCAATTTTCCATTTAGTTAGTGAGTGTATAAAGGTTAATAATTGTGATTTAATTTTTTAATTGTCAAAATGTTAAGTAACTATCAAACTATTTATACTACAACAACTGTGACAACACTAAATTGAATTTGATTTGAATATGAAATTTTTTATTTAAGGACAGAAAAAGAAAACGACTATCAGGTCACCACTATCGCCAACAAAGAAAGAAGCAAATGGAAGCGAAGGAAAAATTAACTGATTCTTTAAAAAAATATTTGAAGCCATCAGAAACACAAGTAACAAGTGTTTTTTCTGAGGTTGAGAATACCGGCAATGATGCTCGCCCTAGTTGTTCCTCAAATACCTTATTGGTTCCTGATAGTGATAGAAATGTTATCCAGGAACATAATATTGAAGATGTTGATGTTGCCTCCGCATCGACTGCATCAGATGTAGATGTACCAAATTCCAATTACATCGTAATATCTGATGATCCTGGAGA